AAGAATAAGTGCTTACAGATAATTATTCAGATGTTTGCAGCTTGATATAATATATACTGTTAACTACTAGAAGTATTCACAGTAGAAAGATAAAATGTAGAAGTTAAATGTATAATAGTATTCAAGCTGAGTTATAAATAGTATTCATGAACTTCAGTCTATATAGTTGTGTGTAGCCAAGAGCCGCTAGCCCTATTGATTACGCGAGAGATAGGAATAGAGGTAAAGAATCCGCGAGAAGTGGGATTTCTTATAAATGACTTAATTAAAGCTATAACTGATTTTTGAACTTCAATATCAGTTATTAACTGAGAAAAGAACTACTGATTAATTTCATTTCTAATTCTGAAAATAAGATTTGAGTTTAGCTTGTTTCTTTATAAGATATTCTAATTTAAGACTTTGAGAATAAGTCTTCTATTTCTGAAGATTTGAAAGTTTTTCTCTTTTTATATTTTTTCTTCACTTTTCTATGAATAGAAGTTTGAGCAGTATTCTTCTCAGTTTTATCAGAATTTTAAGCAGGTTTTAAGACAGCAGGTTTAGAGACAGCAGATTCAGCTGCTTGAGTATATATTTTCTTCTAATTTAAAGAAGAAGAAGAAGTAGAAAAAGAAGAAGAGTAAAATAAAGAGTCAGTAATTATACTAGAAATTTTCAATATTTTTTAAACTGTGTTTGAAATTTCAAGTTTGAACTTAATCATCTCCTGTAGTTGTCTAGTCTGAGTATGAAGAATTAACAGAACTTCTTCATTCATCTCACTCAGACACTGCTTTTCAAGAATCTTACTTACTTTTTCAAGTTTCTGTATTTAAAGAACTTATTATTTCTGTATTTCTTCTTTCTTTCTTCTCTTCAGAATTTTGATCTTAAAAATAGCATTTGAGAAAGTATCTTTTTTCACATTAACTGAGTGTATTTTTGAACTCATTGTTCTTACTCACTGAAAAGTTAGTGTGGCGAGCTGCGCCTGATCAATCATATAGACTATTCCGTTACACTTCACAGATTCCACATACACTCTGATTCTCAGCCATTCTCGATCGCCGATCCTCGGCCGCCACGAACGCGTACACTTCAATTCTCAGCCATTCTCAATCACTGATTCTTGGCTGCTATAAACACGCGTATATTCTTCCACTCTGAAGCTTCACTGTGTACATCATCACATATGTGTATAAATATTCATCTCAATCACTGATTCTCACACTTTCTCTTTCTTTTCTTCTTTAACATTTTTATCTTTGTTATATAAGATCTATAATATTATACTGATCTATTCAGTGTAGGCCTCTTATACTATAAAAACATTCATCATCTTCTTATTAGAAAATAATTATTCACACATTATCTTCTCATTAGAAACAATTACTTATTAAGAGATATCTAAATGTATAATAATACATAAGAAAGAGAAAAACACAGTCAAATAGTTAAGCAGATACTAAGTTCTTAGATAGAAGTATACTCATCAGTCACTCTGACTCTGCAATAAAATCTTACAAAGAGAAAGTTAGTGAAAGACTTAAGAGTTTTAATACTCAGATATATGAGAATATAATTACACATTTAACAATCAATATAATCATATCTAACAATAATATGAAACTCTTAAACATAAGTATAGATGTGATGCTACAGTGACTCTGAGCAATGTTGAAATTATAACAGTAATACATAGCAGACATGCATGCAATTTAATAACTTCAATACAAAAAGATTTAATAATTAACTTATATAATTTCAACATCTACAGAATTAAATATAAAAGTGCTGAAAGAATACTTAAATACTTCTGTATATTTTAATACTTCTGATCTCACTCTCTACTCATTATAAAGAATGAAAATGCTTATAAAACTGAATATAGATGAAGATTTCATCAGTTTATTAACTAATTAAGATTAATATATCAATGAACAATTGAAGAATTACATGAAATAGAGATTTCATTCATGAATGAAAGTATGTAAATCAGTATTGTGTAGACTGACCGTGTGACCGTGTCTGGAACCAGGATCAGATTTTTTGATAGTTTCATTACCAATTCGACTGATCCCATTACATGGTTTTAACATTAGATAGTAGTCTCATACTGTCTCAGTGAGACTTACTGTCTACTCTTGTCACATTTTTCAAATGAGACCATGATTTCCACTTCTCAATTTAAATTATTTTTATTGCTTTAAATGACTTTAAATCTCATTTGAGTGTTACCAAAAAGCATTACTTTTTAAAAAATTAAAAATAGTCTAAAAAAAACCTTAAAATGTCTAAAAATAGTAACTTTATGCCAAGAATGAGACTAAATGGGACCAAATGAAACCACTTTCTCATTTTTTTCAAGTCATGGTTCCATTTTAAGATCTGATATATAGTCACTTTACCTGTTTTTTTGATAGTCAGTCCCAGCGGGATTCACGCCAAGAAATGTATGAGACCAGACCAAATGAGATCAAACGTGAAATTCATGATCCCAGCGGCCAGTCTAGTATTGTGAACATCTGATAATATTATCAAATATCTTGATATTCTGTTTCAAGACACTGTCATATAATAGAAAGTATTAAATTGATTACAGAGTGTCTGACAGAGAAACATTTCTCTTATAATATTCATCTCTAACTTTGACATTAAGATCTTAGAAGCAGGTGATCAATCTTAAGAAGATTAAATGAAGATTAACATACTTAAGAAGACATTAACTTTTAAACTCTTACAGACTCTTATAAGTGTAAATAAAGACTCAACTTATAAAGGCTTCTGCACACAGCTTCAGACATTAAATGATTATCTTATCAAGCTCAAGAGTATACAGAACAGTGACAGAAGATATTACACTTCAGTCACTTATACATTCACACTGAAGAATAATGATGCAGAGGTTATGAACTGAATAGATTTAAATATCTATACATAAGCAAGAGTAGACTGACCGTGCGACCGTGTCTAAGACCAGGATCAAACTTTACAGTTATCACATTGTCTAAAAGCATTACTTCTGATCATGATTTGTGTTCATCATATTGATCTCAAATCACATTATTTCAAATATTAAAGGTTTCAGATTCACTTTTCAAATAAAAATCTAGTCTTAAATAAAGAATATGTTTGAATTCTTAGTTACATTTTCATTCTGATCTCATTATTAAGAATGGCATTAAATGAGACTATGAAATCACTTCTCACTTACATAATATCATAACATAGTGCTCATTTATTGAAAATTCAATAGAGAGTGTTATCAAATATCATTACTTTTCTGAACACAGATTATAATTCATATAATTTTAATTATAAAAAAAACATAAAATACAAAAAAAAATAAAAAACAAAAAACAAAACAAACATAAGAAAAAATCACATTAAAAAAAAAAAGAAAAGAAAAAGAAAAAAATAAAAAATAAAAACAAAAAAAATCAAGATTATAGAATCATAGTACTCTCAGAATACTCACTTCTCAGAGTCTTCATAATATTCATTATTAATCATGTATCTCTCACAGTGAGAGTAACACAGCTATAATGAGTTATTGTCTTAATATTATCTAATAAATAATCAGTATATATCTGTATAAATATGAATAATTAGAAAATATACACTTAAAAAGTGTGATCAGAATGAACTCTGCTGTCACTTGAATAACATCAAGAGCAGAATACTGAAATCAATGATTCTTCTCATCAATTTCACAGACAAGATGTGTGAAGATGATCTTGAGAAATATAAGATTTCTCAACTTCTGATAAAAACAGATCTCACAGAGAGACTCTATTTTCATGATATCAGAGACTGAGTATTATCAAAAAGCATTACTTTCATGCAATGCACATGCACTTACTGCAGTAATTCACTCTCTGTGTACATGATCAAGAGTTGCAGCTTTCTCACACTGCACAGCTCTCTCTGAGATGCTGCTGTCAGTTTGCAACTCACACAGTCTCTCAGTTCAGCATGTGCTGTATGTATGCAGCTCTGTGTGCTGGGACTGTATTGATCATTATAACCTGGCATGATACTTGCTTTTTACAAGCTATGTTTTGTTTAAGAGAAGGGAGAAAGACATAACTGTTGTTTTATTAAGAGAGAAATGAATAATTAGTATTATTGAATTAATTTAATTCATCTGCATTTAAAATTTGATTAATTTATACTCTTCAATTTGAGGGTTTCTATGAGTGTTTTAATAGTTTTCATATCAGCTTGAACTTAGTGATGAGTTGAAGAAGAAGAGAAAAGAGAGAAGAAAGAAATGAGAATAACTTATCTTTATAATATAAAAATAGAGAATCACTGCAATCATTCTTTCTAGTAACAAAGATCTGTTTTCTGCATGTATCTCTAATATAGATTATATGATAAATGTATATAAAGAATACTAATAGTGTATACATTGAATGAAGATAATGTTGCTATGTAACACTGTAGTCATTTCTGTATATCTCTGAAAGCTGTTAATAGTTTCTTTATCTCTTTATGTTTGATAAGTCAATAATATATTTCAATACACTCTCTCTTTTATCATCATTATTATCATCATCATCATTATCATTATCATCATCATCATCATCATCATTATCATTACTATTATCATTATTATTATTATTATCATTATTATTAGTATTATTATATCATTGCCTGTCTTCACTCTTCTTCAACACTTATTAAAATTAATCATGTCATTCTTCTTCAAATATTCTGCAGTCCTGCGGACCACCAAGGCATGTGAGCATTATCACAGATTGAAGAGAGAGAAGAAGAAAGCATTCAAGTACAGAGAGATAGATTGTAAGGCATATTATAATGTCTTGAAGAGACTTTATAAGAGAGTAGAATAATAATGATTTTAAGTAACACTTCTGATAGATTTAGACTGAACTAAGTATAGAAATAATATGAATAACACTGTCTGTGAGAGATTGAAAAAGAAGATAGTGAAGAGTCTTATATAACAGTGATAAGATCAGAAGAAGTTCTGAGAATAATTTGAGACTAAGATGAAGAGAGAGAGAGAGAAGAAGAGTGTTACTGTAAATAAGTAATAGCAGAAGAAGATTAAGAAGATATTAAAGTAGAAGATAAAGAAGTCAAAACTAGTAAGTTTTTTATTGAGAAATAATAATTTTTGATACACTTCTGTTCTCTAATTGATTAGCAGGAGCTGGCAGAGAAGAAGAGAATTGAGGCCTTGTTCAGGTCTCAAATGCACTCTATGATTCAGAATATTGAGGAGACAGCTCTGCTCTCTGAGCATGTTAATCTGCTTACTGCTGAGATGGAACCTGAGACAGTAGATCAGAAAATGCAGGATTTTAAGACACAGATTGACCTGACTGAGAGAAAGCAGCAGAAACTCTTCTCTAAGAAGACAGCAGAGAGAGATTTTAAGATGATTATCATCTCAGATAAGAAGAAGAAGAAGAAAAAGAAGAAGAAGAAGAAGAAGAATAAGAAGTGAATTATGAAGAATGATAAGAAGAATGAGAAAGAGAAGAAGTAGATTTTTTTCTTTTTATATTAGTTAGTTATAAGTTTAAGTTTTTAATTATTAATAATTAAAATTGATTTTGAGTTTTCAAAAATTATTATACAAGTTGTAATCAAGTCAGAAATGATATATATATATATATATATATTTAACTATCATGATTCATAAATCACTATAATGTATAAGTATCAATATTTTTTCAACATTAATATTCATAATATTAATATATTTTTAATGATATTATCTGATAATGCAATTTGATAACACTCTCTTTTATAATATTAATATATTTCAAGAAATATGACAGAGATTAATCAAGATTATTTATTTACTTTTATATATCAATAATATTCAATCTGAGTTAGTACTAAAATTATAACTAAGCTAAGAAACAAGATTATTTTCTTTTATATTAATTCTTCTTACACATATCAGTGATCAGTTATTAAAAATAAATTATTATCTTTCTCAAATTATTATCATATCTTCTGAATTCACTTCTTTCACTTCTTTTACTTCTATTGAAGATTCACAAACTCTTCAAGAAATCACTGTAAATTACAAAGTTTACATTGTTTATAATTTAACACAGAATACTCTCTTTCAATTATGATAAAAATCACTTCATTCTTCACATCTGATTTCAGGTCACAAAATTTATGAAAAACTCAACACAAATATTGAGATAAACTATGAAATAATTATCAATAGATTGTGTTACAGATTACTGAAGAGTTATCTCTTTACTACAATCACTGCAACTTCATTCAGAAATATTCATCATAAACTGATTATAACTCTGAAGAAATTTCTCAATATCTGAAGTTATCAGAATGCAGATAATAAAAGAAAAATAATCAGAAAATTACTACTGAGCTGATAAGTTACTCTATCAGATAATGATTTTTAATAATACTAACTTTCTAATTTGAAGGAAATTATGTGAAAATAATTCTGTATCAGTACTCTGATTTCACAACTCTCATCTGATAACTTCTGTGAATAATTACTTTATATGTATATATCTCTGAATCTTTCTCTTTAATCAATTGAAAACTCTGAATTCTGAACACTTCTTCAAATACTTAATTTAAATCTTCATATTTCACATTGATTCTGTCTTCAGTTCAATCTCAAGACACACTATAAAGTTAATATACAATATCTAGAATCAGAGTTGAAGAATTATTGAAGAGTGTCTCTCACAGTGAATGTATAAACTAGTACAAACAATCTTATATTTATAAGAGTTACATGTTATTACATTGATGAGAACTGAACTTATTAAGAGACATTAATTGAATTTGAATCATTGATCAGTAGTCATACTGAGAATTATATAACAGAGATATTAATAACTGTGATTAAAAATGACTATTAAGATATTAGTCTCAGTCTTCTTACAATTACAACTGATAATGCTGTGAATAACTACACTATGATGAAGAGCTTAGAGTAAAAATTGGCTTTGCATTTCTGAAATAATAAATAAGATCATATTCTCTGCATTGCTCATGTGATTTAACTTGTGATGCAAACACTGATAAAGAATCTTAACATTGAGATGAAAAATAATGAGATGACTGGTTCTTGAGATAAGAATGAGATGAAAGTGATTACTCAAATAACTTTTACATTCACTTTGCAAAAGATAATGTTTTTTAATAACACTTTTTAATATTGCTTTTTAATAATGCTTTTTAATAACACTAGTGGAAATTTTGAATAGATTGACTAATAATTTAAATATCATAGATTTGAAACATTGCTAATATGATTTGTATCTCTTCTAAATAATAACAATGATTTCATGATATTTAATAAACAAACAAATCAGTCATATCACTGAATATGATACAGAATGTTAGAACACAGTAAAGTTTAATATATAAGATGACTGTTCAGACTCTTCAATTATATCAGATAATTGATCATTGAGTGCAACACTCTGATCAGAAAAAGATTCAGATATTAAAACTTTCTGATATGAAGTGAACTCAGTTGAAATATATGATTGATTTACTGTTTCAGTTTTATAAGATAATAAAGACAGTCTTAATCACTCATACATCAATACTGCAGTCATTCTGATGAATATATAACAGTTTATTTACTCATCTTAAGAAGCAGTTGAATCACTTAAAAAGAAATTCAGTCTGAGATGATGCTATAGCACAGGCTATTATTACTGTAAGAAATAAACTGATATATTACTACAGCAAAATAGAACAATCTTTTACAGAGTACTATGCTGTAGCAGCTCTACTAGATCTCTCTTATTAAGTTAATATCTACACTTCTCAAGATTGAACAGAGAAGAAATAAGACTTATATATTAAATTAGTCTGAGACTACTACAATGTCAACTATCAGAGATTTGAACAAGCAGATGTTTGAGATGTGAAGACAGTGAAATACAATTTCTTAGTAAGTAACAATCTTTGATAATACTTCATATCATATAGAACTATAATACTAACTTTGAAATAGAACTTGCATATATTGATTACAACTGAAAATCAGGTAAAACTACATGCTTGTAAAACTGAATTTGACTGCTATCTTCAAGATAATCTGATAAATTTACATATTAAATCAATTCTAGAGTTATAAAAAATTGTTAAGAGTACATATTCAACTGTTGCACTGATGACATATGATATTCTGATAATTTCATTGATAGAGGTGAGAATGAAGTGAAAGTTCAACTCAAGTTGAGATATTTATTACTATTGCTGGAAACAATTATAAGAAGAAACAATCAAGAAACTCATGATTGTAAAACATGAAATTATCAGACAGTTTAATACCTCTGATCACAGTATATCAGAGAAGTGTAGTTTTCATGAGAAAGTGAAGAATAAACTTACACAAGAATGTATTTAGTTGTTTCATGAGTGTTATTGATAATCATTATCAAATTCTGATTATATAAGCAATCACTGAATGAACTGAATGAGACTGATTTTGATCTTCAGTCTCAGTCTCATTCTGATTTTGAAAGAATGATCATCTTTCACAGTTTATTCTGAAAAATTACTCTCATTTCACTGTTCTTGAATTAAATCTGGTCATTTTTCATATCATTTCTCTCAGAAATGGTTCATTTTCAGATTTTTTTGAGACTTGGTCCTGATGGGACTCACGCTAAGAAATGTATGGAACCAGACCAAATGAGATCAAATGTGAAATTCATGGTCCCGCCGGCCAGTCTAAGCAAGAGTTTTCATTATTTGAACAGACTTCTGAGTCTCTAAGATTACTTCTGAAGAAGTCACTGATCAATATCAATATAAAGTGTATATTAACTATAACTGATCAGAATATATTACTTTTAACTACTGATCAATTTATATATCTTTATATTCAAGAGAAAGATCAGTGTTCTCTCATTCAAAGAATGAATTAGTGTCTGTTCACATCAATCATATTACATTAGAGAAAGATTCAGAGAATAACTATAAGAATGCTCTGATGAAACAGGAAAAAGATTAGCTTCTGTTCAAATTTATAAACAGAAGCTTGAAGAGATCAGATAATAATAATTTAAAGAGAAGATAATAATAAATACAATTCTTGTATCTACTGTGATTAATAATATGTATAATATAAAGATTATGATAGACAGCAGTCTATGTCACTATACAATGATAAAATCTTCAGTTATAAGATGTTATAATCTTCAGTATATCTCTCTATCAAAACTCTGACTTCTCACAGAATTTAATGATTCAAAAGACATTTGTATCTGTTATATAATGAAGCTGATCATAGATATGAGAGAACATCAATATGAAGATATCTATGTATATGAAGTTGATAATCTTGATTACAATCTTATATTAGAACTTGTCTGACTATCTGAACAAGGCATCTTATTAAATACTTAAAACAGAAGCTTGATATTCTCTAACAATAATAGAGTTTATAAAGATGATATTCACAAGACTATGAATCTGACACAGATCTCTGTCAATATCTATGAAATACTTAGAAAAAGAAGTTGCTGAAAGAATCACTGATAGCAGAATCATGTATCAATCTATTTCATCAGTCTGATCAATATTAAAAAGGCTCTAGAAAAGTTATCTCATATTATAATAATAGATTCTCATATAAAACTCTCTCAATAATATCATGAATATCTAGATATCTTTTAATAAGATAATATTATAAATATATCATTATTATTATTATTATTCTTCAATTATAGATGTATGCAGTCAGAGATTATGACATCTACCTGAGAACTTTTAGTTCTCAGGGTTTTTCCTATATCTGTAAAGTTAACTATTATACATTCATCAATTCCAGATATGCAAAATCAGAAAATTCCAGCTCAGAATACAAAAACTGTTTACAAATTGCAGTGTTTTAACATCATCTCATACTTTGAAACCATTTGACAATATCATGACAAAGGAAAAGAGAACACAGTCTTAAAGATAGACACATTAAATAGATAGATGAAAGAAATTGAAAGAAAAAGATAAAATAAAGAAAGACTGTAACAAAACAAATTATTAAAAGATAGTATATAGCTGTTTTAACAGACTATATCTGGTTGATTTCCTCCTCTTCATATTCAGATAATTCTGAATTTAGCCATTTTCTTGTAGCTGCTTGAGTTTCTGATAGAAAGTCTATTAAGTATTTAATTCCTGTCTCAGTTGAGAATAAGAATCTCATATTTAATTGATTTAGATCATACTTCTCTTTCAATCTGGCTCTGAGACTATTGTATAATGCACAGTGCATTATAATATACTCAGAATTCTCATTTGTATTACAGAATGAGCATTCTATTGATTCAAATCTATCATCAAATCTTTGTATATAAGATTTGAAATAGCCATGTCCTAGTTTCAGCTGTATTATAGATGAGAATATTTTCTTTTTACATTTGATTGAACAAGATTTCCACTTGAGCTTTGTTTCAAATCTTGAATAATGTATACTCTTCTTTTATT